GGCATCTGGGATACCTGGTGCAAATGCCTCCTCTTCCTTTTACCTGAAATACCAACAGTTCCTTGTAAGAAACCAACCTGTCCAGGCTTAGTGACTCTGACCACTGCTCCGTCCATCAGAAATTGCCTCATTCATTCTCTCCATGATAGTCCTTAAGATAATTGACTTCAAAACAAGGAAACAATGCAACTCAACAGTTAAGAACTGAGTAGCCTGGTAGGATGATAGCCCCTCTGCACTTTCCTATCTGGCAGCTAGGTGGTAGAGTGGAGCTGGATTTGGAGTGGCCAGTGAGTTCCAACGTGCTCTTAGAGATTTATTCCTATGTGACCCTGGGCAAGTTACCGAACTGCTCAAGCCTCAGATTTCCCATCAGTAAAATGGGACTAAATAAAGTTAGCAAAACAAAGTACATGGAGATTCTTCCCCATTCCAGTCTTACCCTCTTAATTCTGTGCTTTCTCTATGCTAGTTATTTCCCATGTATATATTTGTTTGCATGTTATCTCCCCCCATTAGATCCTAAGTTCCATGAGAGAGGGGCAGTCTTCTAATTTTTTTTTTTTTTTATCCTTAGCACAATACCTGGCACACACACATAGCAGGCACTTAATAAATGTTGATGGTAGTTACAGGCATGGAAAAGCAAATGTCAAACTTCTCCAGTATCTTGCCAGGAAAGCCCTCAATGGGGTGACGAAGAGTTGGACTGAAAAGGGCTAAGCAAAGTGAAAGTCAGAGGCAATACAATTGTTACTAATCCAGTGCTGAAGCAATAAGACATGGTAATGAGAATAATGGGCTGTAGATTATATGATTAGAGGATTTAGAGCTGGAAGGGACCTTAGAGGACCGGCTCCATCATTTACAGTTTAGGAAATGGGTACAAAGAAAGGTGCAGTGACCTTCCATCTCTAGACTCTGAGCATTTTCACTGGTTGTAATCGGTTTGTGTCTTCTGTCTGTCCGTCTCTTCCACCCCCCCCAATGCCTCAATATTAGCTTTCCTGATCTCTGCCTCTGGGCTTCTCTGGCCTCCTTTAACTCTCAGCTAAAATCTCACCTTGTAAGAGAAGCCTCTTAATTCTAGTGCCTTCTCTGATTTTTTTTTTTAATCTATCCTGTATATAGATATATCTGTAAAAACAGATACGTGGTGGGCAGCTAGGTTGCACAGTGGATAGAGCACTGGGCCTGGGGTCAGTGAGACTCATTTTCCTGAACTCATATCTGGCCACAGAAGAGTTGTGTGACCCTGGTAAGTCACTTAACCCTGTTTGCCTCAGTTTCCTCATCTGTAAAATGAGCTAGAGAAGGAAATGGCAAACCACTGCAGTATCTCTGCCAAGAGAACCCCAAATGGGGTCATGAAGAATTAGGACTGAAACAACAAAGGGTAACTATGTGACCTTGGACAAGTCAATGGTAATAGTAGAAGCTGACATTTACATGGTGCCTGCTCTGTGCCAGGTGCTGTGCAAATATCTCATTTTGCCGTCAGAATAGCTCTTTGAGGTAGGTGCTATCCTGAGCTCCATTTTTACAGATGAAGAAACTGAGGCAAACAGATGAAATGACTTGTCCAGGATCACACAGTAAGTCTGAGGCTGAAAGTAAACTCCTGACTCCAGGCCCTACTGGCCTTGGAGTCACATATTAAACTACTTAACTTCTGATTGTTGTTTTTCCTTCCTTTTCCAATACAGTCATCCAGTGAAAGAGTTTTGGATTAGAGCAAACCCCCCCCCCCCCCCAACACCTTCATACAATAACAAAAAACAGACTGATGATTTGGCAAGCTGGCAGGCAGGCAGGAGCTTGCTGACTAGTGAGGGACTTGGTGGAATACAAGGTCTGTTTCAGTTCTGACATTCTGTGTTTTGTTATTCTATAATGAGCACCTTCCAAGTGAAAGATCTCATGTCTGGAGCTATCTAGGTAGAAAGCTAAAGCATGTCCAAAACAACTCACTGTCACCCCCTCCCCACACAAACCAGCCTTCCTTCTTCTGGACTTCCCTGTGACTATTGAAGGCCCCACTCCTAATCATTTTCAGCTCCTCACTCCCACTCACCCCGCATCCAGTCAGTTGACAAATCTTGTCATTTCTACCTTTGTAATATCTGTAGTCTAGGCAGCCAGGTGGCACAGTGGGGTAGAGCACTGGGCTTGGAGTCAGGAAGGCCTGAGTTCAAATTTGGCTTCAGACACTTGCTAACTTGTGTGACCCTGAGCAAGTCACTTAACCTCCATTTGCTTTAATTGACTGGAGAAGGAAATGGTAAACCACTCCAGTGTCTTTCCCAAGAAAACCCCATGGCCAGTACTGGTGTGCTGTGGTCCATGGGGTCATGAAGAGTCATATATGACTGAACAATAAGAAAATCTCTACTGTATATACCCACTGACACTGGAACAGGCCCACATTTTTTCATACCTAAGCCTGAGTTCAAATCCAACCTCAGATGCTTACTAGCTGTGTGACTGTGGATAAGTCACTTTAAAGGAGAAAACTAGCATTTATATGCTTTACAAATCTTAAAGTGCATATAATAGTTGTTGATATTATCATTATTATTATACTTGAACTATTGTAATGGCTTTTCTGTGACCCTGGATAAGTCATTTAATGTTAAATGAAATAATGTATAAAGTGCTTTGCAAAACTGAAAGTACAGATAACTGCTAGTTGTTGTTACTATTATTATAATACCTGGATTATTGTAATAGCCTCCTAATTGTTCTACCTGTATCCAGATCAGAATCCTCTGTTAGGCTTTTATAGCCCTTCATGACCTGCCCCCTTCCTTTCCTGACTTCTTAAGCCTTTCTCTGCCCCATTCCAAGTACTCTAGAATCCAGTGACTCAGGCCTTCCAGCTGTTCCTCCCACATGATGATCCATCTTTTCCAGACTGTCCCCCAGGCTTTCACCTCCACCTTCAGGTCCCAACTAAAATCTTTTCAAAGAGATCCCAAAGCCCCCTTAATGCTAGCCAGAGCCTTCCCTCTATGAGTGTCTCCAGCTTTTTCCCTGTTTGTCTTGTATGTACCTTATTGTGTCCCTCATTAGAATGAGTGTCTTGAGCAGTGTTTTAGCCCTTCTTTTTATTTCTGGTGGTTAACACAGTGTTTGGTACACAGGCAAAGGTTTCTTGACTGGCCTGACCATTCGAAGATGTCTGTGGTCATAGATGCTTCTGAATCCAGGGCCACTGCTCTATCCACTGCACCACCTAGCTGCCTCCAGCAAACGTGTATTGAGTACTTAACATTGAAATGAATTGTTGGAGGAGATGCCCTATTTAAGTTCTTGCCCTCATGGAGCTTACATTCTAGGAATGAGATTGATAAACACAGCTGGAAGAGAAGTGGGGAAGGTGTGGATGGATCATTTAGAGGAAGCTTCTTGAAGGAGAAGGGAACAAGTATTTATATAGCACCTGCTGTGGGCTAGACACAGCTAAGTGCTTTACAAGTTTCTTATGTTTCTCATCCTCATAACAGCCCTATGAGGTGGGTGCGTTTTATTACCCCCATTTTACGTTTGAGGAAACTGGACAGACAGAAATTAAGGGACTAGCTCAGGGTCACATAGCTAGTAAGTGTCTGAGTCTGGATTTGAACTTTGTGACTCCAGACCCAGCACTCTATCCACAGAAGCAACCTACCTGCCTCTAAGCTTACTTTTTTTTTTTAAACATGTGTTTTTAAAACTTTGGGTTCCAAATTTTCTCCCTTCCTCCCTCCCCACCCACCCTCATTGAGAAGGCAAGCATCTCCATACAGGTTATAGATGTGTAGTCATGCAAAATACTTCCATAGTACTCATGTTGTGAAAAACTAAGTATATTTCCCTTCATCCTATCCTACCCCCCCATTTATTCTATTCTGTCTTTTGACCCTGTCCCTCCTCAGAAGAGTTTGCTTCTGATTATCCCCTCTCCCAGTCTGCCCTCCCCTCTGTCAACCCCCTGCTCTCTTGTTCCCTTCCCCCCTTATTTTCCTGTAGGGTAAGATCAATTTCCATACCCCATTGTGTATGTTATTCCCTCCTTAAGCCAAATCCTATGAGAATAAGATTCACTCATTCCCTCTCACCTTCCCCCATTTCCCCTCCACTGTAAAAGCCTTTTCTTGTGTGTTTCATGTGAGATAATTTACCGCATTCTACTTATCCCTTTCTCCTTCTCCCAATATAATCCTCTCTCACCCCTTAATTTTATTTTCCAGATATGACCCCTTCATCTTCAACTCACCCTGTGCCCTCTATTTATCTACGCATACCTATAATTTTTTTCCCTCCCACTACCCCAATACTGACAAAGGACTCATGAGTTACAAATATCATCTTTCCCTGCAGGAATGTAAACAGTTCAACCTTAAGAAGTCTCTTATGATTTCTCTTTCCTGTTCACCTCTTCCATGTTTCACTTGAGTCTTGTATTTGAAAGTCAAATTTTATATTCAGCTCTGGTCTTTTCCTCAGGAATGCTAAGCTTACTCTTGAGGGAGGAAACATTGAGTTCAACTTTAAAGGATGAGTAGGAATTGAACAGATAGGGGACCTGTCAGGGAGGGAACACGTCCTAGGCATGGGAAAAAACTTGCTCAACAACATAGATGTGTGGAGTGTGTTCCTGGGCAGAGAAGTCAGGGTTAAAGTAAAAGGCCTTGAATGGGACCTAAGAAGCCATTGAGTCCAACTAACCCCCTCATGATAGAGATGGAGCAGTGGAGGCCCAGAGAGGTTAAGTAACTTGTTCAAGGTCATATAAGTAGGTAGTAAGCAACACTCCAGTATTTTTGCCAAGAACCCTCCATGAGTTTGACACAACTGGACTCAACCAAAGATTCTTTCCTACCATCACCCCAATTTGCTTAAAAAAGAAAAAAAAGTCTTATCTATCAACCTCAGCCTCCTTGGGAATTAGAAATGCGGGGTGGCTTGGGGAGTCACGTCTGTCCACTTGACAGTTCTGTTTTTCTTATAATCCTCAGGTGCTGCAGGCGTGCTGGTGGGACATCCCTTTGACACTGTCAAGGTGAGGTTTTTTTCCACAGGTTTAATTATAAAATGAATTTGCACAGAAGGCAGCCCCACCGAAAAAGGGAACCAGGGAAGATTGGGAATAACATTTCAGGGGAAGTTTTCCAGGTTTTTTCATTTTTACCTGAAGTGTGTGAAAGTGCTTTCTGGGTATCTTTGGAGAGGTGTCAAGTGTATACCTGGAGAAACCATCTTATTGAGACTTTGTTTTTTAAATCTAAAACTGTTTAGGGGCCAATCATTTATAAATTCTCATTTGAAATAGTCTTGAGGGCCTGGACACTTGGAAAACTTGAGTGCATGTTGCTGTGAAGATTTCTGATATGTGCTTTTGGGAAAAACTGACTTAGTTAAGCCCTTTCTAGACTTTGTTTCCCAGGCACCTCTCCAAGGCCACTCGAGAATGCCATTCTATGACGCACTTTTCAGGAAGATGAAAACCTGTAAATAGAGTTTTTTTGTTGTTGTTGTTGGGGAGAAGGGGAGGGTAAACACTTAAATGGGTTACCCTCTGAACTGGCGGAACCCCCCCAATATCTGACCAGCCTGGGGTCAAAGAGAAGCTTTGGGGAAAACTTCAGTGAAAACAATTCAAACCCTTAAAAGGTAAATCCATATCTCTTATTGCTTGACTGTATCACCCCCTCCCCCCCCTTCCCAGCCACTACCCACTTGGGAGAAGCCTCGTGCCTTAGAGGAAGGAAGAAAATGTATCTAATAGGTTCTCTTGCAAGCTAAAAGGAAGAATTACTTACTTCATTTCTGCCAAACTAGTAAGAAACTGAAGCATAAGCTGGTTTTTTTTGTTTGGCTTAAAAAGGTGTTGTATTTCCTATTGATCCAAGGCCTACTTTGTGTTAGGTAATCACGATTTCTAAAGCTTGTTTGCAAGTTAAATCATGTATTAAAAGTTTGGAGGTGAGGTGTCTTCCAAAGGAACCCACAGGGAAGCCTTTTACAAAGCCAGGAGGCAGCTCCAATTCAGATTCTCTTAGAAAGGCATACCTGCATAGTCTGGAAGGAGAGTAAATGGCTTATTTCTGATCCTGAATTAGCATTAGCTTTGACTCGCTGATAGCTGCTTTTAGAAAGCAGGAGATGGCCCTCCAACCTTGCCCCTCTCCTGTGGAGGAGAAAGGAGAATTTCTGAATGATTTCTTCCCAATTCCCAACATCCTTCCCTTCCTGGTATGGTAGATAGTGCAAGCATTTTTCTCCTCATTTTACAGAAGAGGAAACTAAGGCTTAGTATTAGAGCTAGATTTTGAATTTGCAAGCTCGATAGTATTTCATGTATCCTGAATGTGATATTATGTTCACATGCATTTTATAGTCTCAGGGTTTTTGTTTTTAAAGAAAATTACAGCTATTACTTTGATAACCTGAGGCCCTTATTGAAAGAGAAGACACAGTATTTACTCTGCCTCTCCCTAAGCATTCTCTCATTGCTTAGTCTCCATTCAGACTAAACCAGGCAACTTGCTACTCATAGTGGGGTATTAGAGAGACTTCAGGATGGAAGAGAATCAATTTCTTCAAATTCCATTTTAAAAAGTCACTTCAAAACGAATTTCCCCCCATATCCGGGGAATTTTCCTGTTCTTTCAACTTTCTGTAAATTGGGAAACAGCTGTAGTATTAGCAAGTATAGTATAGAAAGGTTTGGAGGGGGACCTGTATCCAGCTCTTAATACTTACTAGCTAGGTGACCTTATACAAATCATTTAACTTTTCTCACCTGGAAAACAGATGCTTACAAAACAAAGTGCTATTTAAAAAATGGGTTGGGGGCAGCTAGGTGGCTCAGTGGATAGAGCACAGGCCCTGAAGTCAGGAGGACCTGAGTTCAAATCCGGCCTCAGACACATAACACTCACTAGCTGTATGACTCTAGGCAAGTCACTTAACCCCAATTGCCTAGCCAAAAAAAAAGGGGGGGTTCCTTTGAAAACCTTCAGGATGCTGGTGAGGTTGCCCCACTTTTTTTTTTTCTGGATAGTTTCCTTCCAGTGTACTTTACCACCAACATTTCAAATAAGTTTTTAAGGCTTCCAAAGTGATTTTGCTCCCCAAGGATCTGTGGAGTAGGTAGTGTACATATTGCTGTACCCATTTTACAGGTGAGGAAACTGAGGCTTAGACAGGTGAATTGATTGGTGTCCTGACTCTTAAGACCAGTCAATATAGCCCTCCTTTTTTATTTGTAGGCTAAGTGTTGGTTCCCTATGATGGTCATTAAATTATGACAATATAATAATAATAATAACTATAATAAATTATGATGGCATTATCTTTATCTTTGGCTCATAGGAGCATAGATCATAGGCAGTTAGAGCCAGAAGAGGATTTAAAGGTCACTTTATTCAACCTCTTAGTTTTACATATAAGGGAATTAAAATATTAAATATTTTGAACATTAGGATTAGAGTCTGGATTTGAATCCAGGTTCCAGAATCCAAATCCAGTGTTCTTTCAACTTCTAGCATAGGGCCTAGGTAGGCTTAAATAAATTTTTGTGTCGCTCCCCAGTCCACGTAGTTGCTAACCAGTAAACAAATACTTGAAATCCCTTTTGTGATGTGAACAGTTTGGCTTTTGTCATTCCCATGGTGCCCCCCAGGGGTTCAGGGTCTGGCTTCCAGAGGGTGGGTGGGGCCGCTGGTTTTCCAATTCTAGAATAATAGATTGGATCAGGGGTCCTCCCCAGCACCGCTTCCCACTCCCTCCCTTTCCTCCCCACCCCTGTGTGTTTGATGTGATGTTGAAAATTTGTTCTGTTGCTTTTTAACTGCCTTTACTTTCTGAGCCCAGGGCTGTCTTCATTATAACAGCAAAAGTGTTACTTTGTTGTAGATGAGAGATAAGCCTCATCACTGGAGAGTTACCTAGTAAGTACAGACCAGGTGAACCTTCTGTTTCTCTCAGTCTGAATTTCTCCCAGAATGTATGATTAGTGCCGAGAAGGGACATAAAAACCCCCCTGGAGTCCTTCTTCCCAGGCACCCCAAGCTCTGACTAGTAATTGGGGGTGGAGGGTTGTGGGTAGGGACAGTATCCCAAGCTGGCTAGAACTTCCACTGACCAGCCCAGTTTTCCATGTCTTCCCCCACAAAAAAAAATTTCCTGGGGGAATTAGCACTATTATCACTACTCATATAACTAGACCCGACTTCCGAGCACCCTTTATTCAGAGCATTTAAATTATTTCCTCCAATGCTTGAGACTTGAAGCCTCTTTCTCCCTCTAACCCAGAGTTGGGATGACCATACTTAGATACATCAGGACCTGGAAGGAGAAGGGGATCATTGGGATTGGAGGGAGTGTGGGGATGGGGATGAATGAACCTCAAGACTGCTTTTTGGATAAAGGGTAGTTTGTTTCATACATCTGAGGTTTTCTACCCGATTTTAAAGCAAACTTGAACTAGTAGACAGGCAGCCTGTCATAAAGTCCTGGTTTGAGAGTGATCAGGGATTGGGAGCCTCCTTCCTGCAGTGTTTCTAAGCCCTGTCTCTAGGAAGGAACAGCATGTTCTCATTCACAGGAGTTTTAATTAAAATAACTTTCTGAATGTTAGAGGGAAAAAAACACCCCACGGAAAATCCCATTATGTTTCAAAACCAACACATAAGTAAAACCCAGCCCTTTTTATTTTTTAAATTTTGGCCAGACAGGTGACCCTTTCTTAAGATGCATTTGAACAGTTCAGTTTCATAGAACCTAACCTTTGTTACTGCTTGGTATGAGCCAGGTGGGCATTTCCTCTGGATGCTGTTCCACATGCACCATCACACTTTTTTCATGGAGTTATAAACCTACACAGTTGTGCTATTTTTTTTTTCTGCTGTTGTTTGAAGTAAAGAAGCATTTTTAAAAATTCATCCTCATTTCCTCTGCCCCTCCACACACTCCCGTACAAATACCACTACTATGTAATATCTTCCTAAAAAAGTAAGGTTATGAGAATCCCCCTTTTGAGGTTCTGGTTTTTCCAGGATGGCTATTAACTCCAAAGGTCAGGTGAAGGGACCCTTCCTTCCCCTATGGACACAGTGGATCTTCTTCTGGTTCCCTCCACAGAAGATAGGATAGATGGCCTTCCCTTACTGCTTTCAGAACCAGGTGCTAATAAGAAGTCAGGGAAAGGCCTTGCCAAAGAAAATTAAAGGAATAATTTAAAAAAAAAACAACCCAGTAAGGATGATAGAATGTAGAGCTGGAAGTCTTCGCTCACTTTACAAAGGAGGACACAGGCTGGAAAGCACAAAGATTTAATTCTCAGTCTCCAAATTTAGTACTCTTTGGTTTTGAAACTACCAGAAGGGTGGGGGCAGGATGCTCTCTACCTCAGTTACATACAAATACAGCTTTGGGGAAATGTTTCTTCATATCTCTGCAACTTGAAAAAAAATGCATATCAAGAGCAGAGATAAACCCCAGGGTTTAGGGGTGTATCCTCTGTAGGAGAACGTCCTCCTTCTCCCAGCTGCTGATATCTGAAGTCTAAAGCCAGCCCCATGGAACCTGCCCTCCTAACTGGAGAGAGCTGCTTGCTGATTGAGCCCCGTGGAGTCTGGTCTGGACCTGACACTGCTCTCCTTAAAAATAAGGTTTTTTTACCTGGGGTGGGAGTCTGATATCGATATGAGGGACTACTTGCAAAACCCAAACTGTTGAGCGTAGAAGAAAAAATTGTGCTGTATTTACTTTTCCTAAGTTCTACTCCTCCCTTTAAAAAAAGAAAAAGAAGCACAAAAAGAAGCAGTTTTGATCTTTGTAATGAGGACAGTTAAATAAACTGAGAGCAGGTATTGTCCTAGGCCTCTCTGGTGACATAATGGTAGCCAATGGGTATTAGCAGCTCACCCTTACAATGGGAACCCATTAACAGGTTAATTTAGCACTTAGCAGCTCAGTATAGAGCAAGAGGGGTTCTGTGAACAGTTCAAGACTTGATTTTGGACTCCTAGGGGTAACCACACAGTCCCACTCCAGGGTCCAGTCCTCCGGCATCATAAACAAAGGGAGGGCTGTGCTTTCACCAAGAGTGCTTTCCTATTAACTCCCTTCCCATTCAAGCCCCATGAAATGTTTTGTGCATCATCCTTACTTACATTCACCCACCAACCCTCTTTACCTCAATTATAAAATAACCCGCCTAGTGCATCTCACCACTTCCTGCTCTCTGATGGCCACAAGTGGGCCTCCCTAGTGCTGTAGATATTAAGTGCAGAGGACAAGTAAACTCTGTGGGTTTCCCTGGGCTTGTCAAACCTTTTTTCACTGTAAACTTTTGTTCTAGGTACGCCTCCAGGTTCAGAGTGTAGAGAAACCTCTCTACCGAGGGACTTTCCACTGCTTTCAGTCCATTATCAAGCAAGAAACTGTAAGTAATAGTAATTCACATTTCTTCAGTGCTTTGTGGTTCACTGGGCATCTTTTATAACAGCCTTCAGAATTCGGATAATCCAAGAATTGTTATCTCTGATTTAGAGGCAAAATCACTGGACTATGGTCCCATTTACTGACTGTGTGACCCTGGGCAAGTCACTTAACTCTGTTGGTCTCAGTTTCCTCATCTATAAAATGAGCTGGAGAAGGAAATGGCAAACCACGCCAATATCTTTGCTAAGAAAACCCCAAATGGGAGTCAGACATGACTGAAAAAAAAAATAGATTTGAATCCTGATCTAGTGGGATAAGTCATTTTAACATACCACTCTTATCAGTAAGGTAGTTGGGTTTTATCACCACCACTATCATTCCCCATCATTTATTTTTTTTTTTTCCTCTCTTATTTTGCTTTTAGGTATTTGGCCTGTATAAAGGTATTGGATCGCCCATGATGGGTCTGACCTTTATCAATGCCCTTGTGTTTGGGGTCCAAGGCAACACAATTCGGGCCCTGGGAAAGGACACACCCATGAACCAGTTCATGGCCGGGTCTGCTGCAGGTGCCATCCAGTGTGTGATCTGCTGCCCCATGGAACTGGCCAAAACTCGGATGCAGCTTCAAGGCACGGGCGAGTACAAACTGAAGACAAGGACCTACAAAAACTCCCTGGACTGCCTGGCGAAGATCTACCAGCAGGAGGGCCTGCGTGGCATTAACAAAGGCATGGTGTCCACTCTGATCCGTGAGACGCCCAGCTTTGGCTTCTACTTCCTCACCTATGACTGCCTTACCCGCTCCCTGGGCTGTGAGCCTGAAGACAACTTTGTGGTGCCCAAGCTGCTGTTGGCAGGTGGCATGTCTGGGATTGTGTCCTGGCTCTCGACCTACCCTGTGGATGTGATTAAGTCCCGCCTACAGGCAGATGGCGTGCGGGGTGTTGAACAGTACAATGGCATCCTCGACTGTGTGCGCAAGAGTTATCAGATGGAAGGCTGGAGGGTGTTCACCCGGGGTCTCACATCTACCCTGCTACGGGCCTTCCCAGTCAATGCAGCCACCTTTGCCACCGTCACCATCTTCCTTATGTACATGCGGTCAGAGGAAGTGATGACAGAGTGTGAGACAGCCCTCCCTCAGCCTTCCAGCTTGTAAAGATTTGCCCCCAGCCCCAGGATGTCTCCTTCACTTTTGACATGTCCCTCTCCCCCCACCCAGAGCTGGACTTTGCCCTATTGTATTTTTGTAAATGCCTGTCATTGTAGAAAATTATGTAAACAAACTCTACTAAGTTTCTTTCACCTGACTTGACCTGGGTTCTATCTTGTCCTCTGGGGAGCCTGAGTATCATTCCTCCTGGTGACACAGACCTTCCTTCTATTGTTTCTTGGGAATGTAGCCAACCTCTCTTCAAAAGCACCTCAGAAGCCAGCATTCTGATCCTCGGGCACCCTGGAGTTAATTCTTTTTCTCTTGATGCCAGCATTCTGACAAATTCTTTCCTGGATTTTAATCAACCCAACCCTTCTTCCAGGGGGTCAAATCTATACCACTTTTGAAAAGTTTGGAGGTCATTTGTCCTTGGGCCTGGTCACATTTTATTTTCTTATACTGGGCCAATTTGATTTTTCTGAGGCTTAAATTTAGAGACCTCTAGCATGCATTCAGAGCAAAGGATTTGGAGTCAGACCTGGGTTTGAATATCACTTCTGTTCCTGTGTGACCTTGAGCAAATCGCTTCTTCCATGGGATCCAGTTTTCTTTATCATAAAACGAAGGTGTTGGAATTGGTGATCTCTGTGGTCTTTCCCAATCTAAATTTTAGGATTCATAGTCAAGGCATGTTGCTGGCTTCCTGTTCTTCCTATCCCAGAGGATAAGTCTTGGCTGTCTAGGCTAAGAAACACTTCCCCTATGGTTCCGGATCAGCACACATTTCATTCAGGGGGGGCACACAGAGAGGCCTAGGCATCACTGCCCAGCAAAATGGCACCTCTTCCACCCTTCCTCAGGAACGGAAAGTTTGTTTGTGATGTTTTATAGTTAATAAAGTCAACTAACATTTTTATCTTGTTAAACTCAGAACAGGGAGAACTAATGGAGTCAGATGAGAATGCCATAGCCGCTCCCACCCCTTGCATTGTTCATTTTGAATGGGCATTTTAGGCCATAGCCCACAGTGATATAGGTAGATGTGGTTTCAGCATGTTGAGAAGTGCACAGCATGAAATGTAGACTCTGGGAATCTTTGCGTTTATTGCTATCAGAATGCCATTCTCACTTTTGAGGATCTAATAAGCCTTGTTAATGCAAATACTTTGGTAGAGAATGGGGCCATTCACCATATTGTTTCCTGCGAAGCAGGAAATGACTCTCCATTGGTGAACAGTGCAGGGGACTTGGGACAGGTTTAGGGAGTTTAGGGGATGGGTCCTTTTTACATTGTATTTTAAGAAAATATAATTAAAAGCAATTTGCACTGTCAGAAATTATGCTGGAGACACTTATTTTCTGGATCCAATTATTTGGCAGAAGGCAGAGGAGGGTATTGTGGCCATTTGGAGGCTCCCACTGAATGTGAAATGTGTCACCTAAAGTTTATGTACAAGTCAATGATACCTTTGTAAGATATTCTGTAATTATTGTACAGTCAATAAATTTTTTTTTTAAATCAAGACTTGAAAAAAAATTTATTGATGCCTTTTTATATCAGTCACTTCTGGATATGCATACCATTATACTTTCTCACCCCCACCACCTCTCTGTTGAACCCTCTTTTATAACAAAACAGTTAAACAAAAACAGTGATACCAAGACTGTATCTGACAAGGCATTAAAACATCCTGCCCCATGTAGTCCCCGAATCTCTCCTTAAGGGAAAGAGTTGTGTTTTGTTATTTATTTGGGATCAACTGAATTTTCAATTTCTCAGTCTTCCTTTACTTTTTATTCTACAGAAAGGAGGTGTTATCTAATAACACCTGTCTAATAACATTCAGGAAACAGTTACATATTGACCTGTGTGGAGAGCTACTCTGGATTCAGGGGACCATTCAAAGATGAGAAAGATATGGTTCCTCTATCACCTTTATTTCATGCCCAGAGAAGTGTCTCTTATATAAAACAAGGAATTAATTTTTTTTAAAGGGAGAGAGGAAGGGGCAGCTAGGTGGCAGTGGATAGAGCACCAGCCCTAAAGTCAGGAAGACCTGAGTTCAAATCTGGCCTCAGACCAAAACACTTGACACTTACTAGCTGTGTGACCCGGGGCAAGTCACTTAACCCCAATTGCCTTTTTAAAAAAAAAAAAAGCCTCAATAAAAGGAGAGAGGAAGCCATTCAGCAAAGCCGATACATCAGCTGGATCTGACTACATGAAATATGGAATATTCTACCTTATAGGTCTCAAGAAAAGGATGAGGAGGGGAGGAACATTTTGTTTTTAAATAACTACATTTAGGAGCAGCTAGGTGGCACAGTGGATAGAACACCAGCCCTGTATTCAGGAGAACCTGAGTTCAAATGCAGCCTCAGACACATAACACTTATTAGCTGTGTGACCTTGGGCAAGTCACTTAATCCCAATGCCTAGCCAAAAAAAATAAATAACCTTACATTTCTTAGAGCATTTTGTATCTGACAAAGTCTTTCCTTCCTACCACCCCATGAATTAAGATAAAGCCTGGTGTGAATGGAAGTGAAGTGGCTTCTCCAATGTCAGCAACTAGTCAGTGGCAGAGCTGGGATTTTACCACAAGTCTTGTGGAAATTCAGTATTTCTTACATTCCACTGTATTGCTCCAGGTTGGTCTTACCACCTCTACTTTTAGTCCCTCTGTACCTACTTAATAAGGTTGTGAGAAGAAGGCTTTGTCTATTAGATAACCTCACCTGGATTATTATGCCTTCTCAAGACCCTACAGTAGCTCCCTTTGCCAAGTAAAGTTTATCATTTGAGGCTCATTGAATTGAATTGTCCTTCAAGATCTGGTTGAATCAATCTTTCTGAAAGCCCTGTCCTATAGTTGGCCTGCGCAGCCTCTCTGATGCCCTTCCAATTTCTGACTATTCCAATTCCTCCCTTCAAGGCCCACCTTAGGCCATTTCCTTTACCCTCCTCTCTTCCACATCCCTGAAATCTGCCTGTACCTTCAAATTTCTGAGTCTTTTGCTTGGGCCCCCTGCTGGATACTCACACTGTATTGTGCTTACTTCTGAAACTTATTCTACCTTATTAAATTTAAAACCACTTTGGAGCAGGGTTATTTGATCTTACATTCCATATTTCCCCTGTAGTGGACACATGGCCTTACATGGAGTTGCTGCTTAATGATTGTTCAATTTGAACATAAATCCAAACTAAGTGATTCACATTTATTTGATGCATTCTGGTCTACAAGATGTTTTCCTTAATAGCCCTGTGAGGTGGTCCTGGAAATTTAACAGGGAGGATGATGTCAGCCCACGAAAGGAGTGAGGCCTGCAGGGAGGTGGGCTAAAAACCTTTCCTCCATGAGACATTTTGACGTGAAGAAGGAAGAGGCTTGGTCCTGAGCGTGTTCCTGAGACAAAGATTTGTGTGATTTAAGGCTCCTATGTTAGGAGCAGTGATAAAAGAAAACTAATAGTAAACTGGTTACAATTGGTATTCCCAAATCTAGTATTCAGAGAAGGTAAACTGCTTGGAGGGCCAGGGATGGTGCACTGAGCAGAGTCCTGACCCTCTCACGCACATTTGCTTCTGATGTTCACTTAGCTCTGAGATGTCTGGCTTAAGGCTCTGCCTTGAAAGTGGGGCTTCCCTTCCATCGAGGCCACTTGAAAAACAGTAACAATCATTGCTCAGATTGTATAGATCACACAAAGGTTTATTAAGATCTGTCCTTATAACAGCCCCATGGATTTTTTGAGATTTATCCTTTTACAGATGAAACAAACTTCAGTAAAATTTAAGCCCTGCCTAAGTTCACACAGCTGCTGAGTGTTATCGCTCAGCTTCAGAGCAGGTCTTTTTTTTTTCTTTTCTTTTTTTCAGGCAATTGGGGTTAAGTGACTTGCCCAGGGTCACACAGCTAGTAAGTGTGAAGTGTTTGGTCTGAGGCCAGATTTGAACTCAGGTCCTCCTGACTTCAGGGCCAGTGCTCTATCCACTGCGCCACCTAGCTGCCCCCAGAGCAGGTCTTGACTGTGTGGTTGGTTTCTAACAGGAAGCAGTAGTACTCTGGGTCAAGAGAAGATAAGGTGTATGCTGTCCTTGGTACCTGGGTTGAAGTAGCCGATTGGGTGGGGTGCAAGAATGAAAACAGTGAAGGCAGGAATCAGCTAGGCTTCAGGTGCTGAACTTGGAGTCAGAAAGACCAGAGTTCGAATCTAGCCTCAGATTCTTTCTTCACTGTGTGACCCAGGGTGAGTCACTTAATCTCCCTCAGCCTCGGTTTCCTCATCTATAAAATGGAGATGGGCAGCTAAGCGGCATGGTGGATAGAGCTCCAGCTCTAGAGTCAAGAAGACCTGAGTTCAAAACTGGCCTCAGACACTCGAGGTGTGACCCTGGACAAGTCACTTAACTCTGTTTGCCTCAGTTTCCTTCTCTGTAAAATGAAGTGGAGAAGGAAATAGCATACCACTCCAGTATCTTTGCCAAGAAAACCCCAAAAGGGGTCAGAAAGAGTCGGGCGTGACTGAAATGACTGAACAACAATAAAAAATGGAGATAATAGCACCTCCCTCCTGATCAAATGAGATGTTTGGAACTTACTTTACAAATCTTAAAAGTGCTACATAAATCCTAGCTACTGCTACAAAAAGAACTGGAAAATACTGGTCAGCCAAGGAAGAAGACTGACAGATTTATGGCTTTCCATTGCAGATCTGCTTCCTAAAAGAGATCTATAACCATGCTAAGAAGCCTGGCCAAATCTCTTATATCAGTAATTAGGTGGGTTAAAAAGCACTGGATTTTCAGGCACATTGAATAATCAATCACAAGCATTTATTAAATGCTTAGTATGTGCCAGACTATAAGTAGTAAATACCTACTATGAACTAAGTGCTGGGGAAACAGAAATGAAACAGCCCCTGCCCTCAAGGGGCTCATAGTCGAATGGGGAAGGTAGCACAAACACCGATGCAGAGGTACAAAGTAGATTTAATGTGGACCTTACAGGAAGAAGGCATTAGCTGCTAAAGGGATGAGGAAAGACTGGCATAGGGTGGTGCTTGAACAGAGACTTTCAGAAAATCAGATTCCAAGATGTGGCCATAAGGAAAGAGAATATTCCAAATACAGAGCATAGCTAGTGCAGACAAGCTGGGATGGAGCCCTGACTATGGCACTTCTTACCTGCATGACCTTAGGAAAGTGTCTCTGGATTTCCTTTTCCCCTGCTAAGGAAGGGTTTGAGCTAGATGACCTCTAAGGTATCTTTTGGTTTTAAAGCAAAGGACAGTAACTGAAGGGTTTCGGGTGGATTTTATCTGTGAAGATTTGCTCAGGTTATCTAGTTCTAAAGTATAATAAGGGCAGCTAGGTGGTGTAGTGGATAGACCACTGTCCGAACTTAAGTCAGAAAGACTCATCCTCCTGAGTTCAAATCTGGCCTCAGATCCTTACTAGCCATGTGACCCTGGGCAAGTCACTTAACTCCTCTCTTTACCTCACTTTTCTCATCTGTAAAATGAGCTGGAGAAGAAAATAGCAAACCATTCTAGTTTCTCGGCCAAGAAAACCCCAAATGAGGTCACAAAGAGTTGGAAATGGCTGAATAACAACAGAATTCTATACAATATCCCTGAGAAATGATCATCTGATATAAGGAATTGACTCAAATTTATAGGAATAAGATATTTCCCAATTGATAAATGGTCAAAGATTTAACTAGACAGTTCTCAAAGGTAGACCATACAAGCTATCAAAAAGCATATGAAAAAAGCTCCAAGTCACTAATGATTGAGAAATGCATAATAGAGCAATGCTAAGGTTCTACCTAAAACCCATTAGTTGTTGCTGTTCTGTGCATGTTTTGACCCAGCAATGATTCTAAGGCTATATCTCAAAGAAAGAGGAAGAGGACCCATATGTACTAAAATATTTATAGCAGTTCCTTTTCTAGTAGCAAAGAACCAGAAGCTAAGGGGGTGTCCATCAACTAAGTAATGAATGATTGAACAAGTTATGATACATAAATAGAATGGAATGCTATTTAGCTACAAGAAATAAAAGCTATGGGTTTGGAAAAACCTGTAAAAACTCTTATTGATGCAGCATGAAGTGAGTAGAACCAGGAGTAACAACATTATAAAGGTAAACACCTTTGAAGAACTTCAGCTCTCTGATCAAATCAATATAATGATCAACTATTAAACCAGAGGACTAATGATAACCTAGGCTGTCCACCTCCTAATGCGATGGATTTAGTATGACATATTTTTAGACATGGAAAATGTGGGAATTAATATTGCCTGACTATACATATTTATTGCAAGGTTTTTATCTTCTTTTTAGATTGAAGGAGAGAAAACAAATGGCTGTTAATTGAAAAATAAAATAAAATTAAAAAAAAAGAAACAGTCATCCAACCTCTGTTTAAATGTTCAAAGGGCTCCAGGAAGCTCACTATCTTCTCTAGAAGTACAGAAACTTAGGTTTTAATCATGGCTCTGCCCTTCCTGGTCA